GGGAAAGAGAGCGTGAGACAGACAGACAGACAGCCAGAGACAGAGAAAAGACAGAGGTCGTCCTACCTTGTCTGAATATTTTGGGAGTCTAGGAGGTGGGTTTAGAGCATGGCTTCCCTGAACACACCAGGACACACTTCAGCTTTAAGATGGCTTCTTGTCTGAATATTTTGGGAGTCTAGTACTACCTCGTGTTTCTTGTGTAATGTTTCTCACTGTTAACGTTTGCCTCAAGCTGATTGAATGACACCTTGTTCTTTGTAGGTCTTTCTGCTCTGTTGTTGACTCTAAAGTGTGTAGCCGACTATACTTAAATATTCTTGCTTCATAGGAAAATATGGCATATCTGTCCCTAAAATTTGTAATTGTCAAAATGAAAAGAAAACAATCATTTATGTTTGTGTATATGTGGTGATTGTTAAATCTGTTGTTTTTATAAGAGATTAAAAAATAGGAGAGATAGATATGGACAGGATTTGAGAAGCATTGATTTTCATTCTCTTCATTTTCTTTCTACTAACTGAAGAAAATATTTTCTAATTTAAAGTTTCAACCTAAACTCATTCTTTCCCTCCAAACAATTGTGAATATTTTGTCTTGTTTGGTTTGGTTTTGCTTTGGGAGGCTGTGTCCTGTCCCCTCTCTTAAATCTTTGACCCCTTTGTTGTGACTAAACAGTCAGGCACTGTGTGGACAGCTCCTGGGCCCACAGAGTCAAGGCACATTCTGTGGGGCCATTCTGAACAAGTACGGCAAAATATTATGGACCTGGAATGTCTTTTAACTTAGTCTAGGCCATGTTTACATTCTCTGAGTTTTTGGATTGACCATAATGAATTAGATAATGTCTCTTCAGCTTGGTACATGAGCAGATCTCTCTGCAACTAATGCGGTCTTTAAAATCACTGTCATTTATTTCCCAAAAGGTACCCAATTAGGTCTTACCAATGAATGGAATCCCTAGACATTATTACTATTTTTTAATTATTATTTTAAGATTTTTGCCATAGGGCATATGCACTCTCTGGAGAGAGACAGTGAGAGGGAAAGTGAGAAATCACCCCCCCCCCAATCCCCGTGGGGATGGCCATCCCACAGTCCCTTCTCCTCCATTCTCCTCTTGAGATTTTGGGCACACATGCACACATGCCCCATGTCCAGTGCCCAAACAAGGTCCAGGGCTCAGACCTCAATCGGCCAACGTGGGGTTCCATCGCCTTAAATGCCATGCAACCTGCTGGTCCCTGACATCATTAGTAATAAGGCAGTAGCATTGGTACAGAGTGTACATGTAGTTCTTCTCACTTGCTAAGGAAAGGTGGTTCTCCTCTGCCTATACCTTTGTCTCAGGTTTGTATTTTCATTTTATAATCTTACTGGGTTTTACCACTCCGTAGGGTAATTATATAGCTTGCACAGTGTTTTTCTTACTTGATGAGTATTAATTACTCATTACTTAAAAATCTATAGTTCATTTAACCTTAATTTCCTGATTCTATGTATACAAAGCAACTCCCTTATCTTAATGATGTGATAGGAAAGGGTCTACTGGGATTCCATCACTATGTGGTCATTTACCATGTTTGAGTTTTAATTATGTCCATTAAAATGTATTAATTATTTTATGAACTTTTAAAAGATTCTGCTAGCTAAGATGAAATTATGCCCACATATGTACTTAGGGACTATGGGTGACAATCTTGGGAGTCTATAATTAGGCAATAGTTGTTGAGATTTAGGAGTAGTGGTGACAGCTTTCAGTTTCTCATTGGAAGAATATCATACATTAGATAGTTA